GTGCGTGTGTGTGGGGTGAGAGAGAGAGGGAGAAAGAGAGGGAGAGAGAGAGAAAGAGAGAGAGAGAGAGACAGAGAGAGACAGACAGAGAGAGAGAGACAGAGAGAGACAGAGAGAGAGAGAGGGGTATCATTCAATTCTCCACCACCTAGAGGGGACCGTCCCATCTCTCATTTATTCCGATAATTCTATAATGATTCGAAACACCAAAGCATAGGGATGATTCAGCAGAAATAAAACACTTTTTATGTTGATATCTTACGTCCCTATTAACACAATTGAGACAGTCTGGGAGGCCAGCAGCTTTTATCCTTTCTTTTAAAGCCAATCTGGACTTTGTGTGATGTATCTGACCTGAAAGACGGAATAAGACGAAAGAAACTTTCCCTCCATCTTCAACCCAGCACAACCAGCTTATGGATTCCCATTACAGAATAATTGTACGGGATATCCATTATGAAGCCATTGAAAGAATATTATGCACATAGAATACAAACGTTAAAGACAGCTAAGCCTTTTGTTTTTTGTTTATTTCGATCCTGAACGGACTAACCTGTGTATTCATTCGTAAAACAGCTTTTGTGTTTTCCCATCCCCAAAAGCTAGTCAACGATTCAGCAGAGAGAAGGAACACTTATTCCTGAACAACCAAAACGTAAAAGACAGAAAATACTCCATTCCTTTTTCAGTGCAGTATATTACAACTCCTGGCGGGTTTATCCATTGGAATAGCTGTGTTTATCCATATCCTGGAGCCACTGTCGGATCCTGCCGTCCCTGGAAGTGTCGTTCTGATCACACCTATAGCACAGCATCTGACTTGACCTGCCTTGACCCCCGCCGATGCTACTGCTGCCAGAGGTGCTCGCGTCCCCACCAGGCAACGAGAAGATTGGGCCACCGTCTCTGGCGTCCGACCCAGGGCGAGGTTGTTTGGAGCGGCGTGTGGCGTTGCGGTCTCTGCTGTTCCCACCCGAAGTCGGAATGGACGAGTCTTTCAGGGGTTTGGAAGCTGACTGGGACGGGGGGTTGCTCGTCTTGACTGGCACTGAGTTTCGACGGCGGGTGTCTGTCCCACTGCCTTGTTCAGGGATTTTACTGTCAGGACTCACGCTTATTTGAAAGTCGTCTAGCGATGACGTTGTGTTGTCGAGAGATGACGCCATCGTGTCCAAATCCGCGTCTGCTATGACGTCAGTGTCAACGCTTTTTGACGCATTCGCAGATTTTAGATTGCAGAGAGACTGTGACGGCCTCGCGCCGACTTCCGGAGACGTGCCTTCTTCTGGGTGAGACATAAATCTGCGGAGCTGAGCAGGTTTATCGGAGAGCTTGTCCTTTTCAGAAATGGACACGTCGTTGTCAGAGTCCGAATCGTTGGACAATAGCCCTATACTTCTTGCCGTGCATTCACTGTTGAGGGACAGAGCGCTGCCGACTCTGCTGGACGCGGTGAGCACTTTCAGTGAGTTGGAGGACGAGTCTAATGTTTCTATCCACTCGTACTGGCCATGTGTATCCGCCCGAGAGTTGATATCTAGGTCAACTGACCTTCTGGATGTTCTTGGGGAGCAATATACACCTAAGTGATTCTCCTTTCCGCCCTCCATCGCACCTCCGCCCACCATACCCAACTGAAGAGCCAGATTGGGCATACTTGCGGCGGGAAGTCCAATGTCTGATGAAGACCGAATTGGCGGGTGATCTGATTTCTTAGACGAGAAGCGCGATTGTTCAGCAGCCGCAGATAAAGACGAGGGGTTCAACCCCCGTCCATTCGCCAGGTCCTGGCCACTTCCAGCACTCGTTGTCTGGCTGTACTCCTCATTGACACGGATGTCGACGGTTGCCAAATTGGCTGGAACAGACGACAAGTGGGGGGATAACTCTGTCTTTGTTGTCCCGGACAAGCCGTCCGTCTTATCCACGAGTACTATTTTCGGGATGTTCGCTGTCAGCTCCCCCGCCCTGGGAGCGGAAGTGGGTCGCTTTTTTATGTACTCGTTTCCCTCTTTGTCCGCCGCCATTGTCAGTAACCGAACGGTCCAATCGTCAAAGAGACTGATCGAGACGAAAGCAGGAAGTGAGCAGGGTACAAAGACAGGCAGTAGCGGTCATTTTTATGTCGGAAGATCCGTCCCAGTTTGCCTTGCGCCGGTACTCGCTTTCACATCATTCCTGCCAAAAGAGAAGAGGCAATCAATAGTTATAGTCCAAGCGTTCACAACGTTCTGTGGTACATCTTTTAGAAAGCAGTTTATCTTTTTTTTTCGGGGAAAGCGTATGGGTGGGGTGGGGGTGGGGGATGGGGGTGGAAAAACATTAAAAAATTGTCCGTGCACACGATCATAGTATTCATAGGACGTCGTTCCACTTTTGCTATACCTCGTTGTCATATCTTCACATCCACACATACTCACATTACCTTTTTAACAGCACAGAAAAGATTCGTATACTGCAAGAATGAAACAAGACACACAAATACACCTACATAAGCACACATAAACAAACTCACACATACACCAAATCTTTCACACACACACACACACACACACACACACACACACACACACACACACACACACGCACGCACACACATACAATACATTCATTATGTACGGGACTTAAATACAATATGTACACAACATATTGAAGCACAAGCTATTGCTGGTCATCGCTGTGCAGTGCCCTGTTTTTATTTAAAGCTAAGATTATCATGTCTTGCTAAAGTGTACACCCAAGTGATAACCTACCTAAATTCCACGTCAACAACGTATACTTGACATGTAACCTGTATTACAGGAGGGGAAAATGGCTGGAAACACCCACAGGAAAATGCCTCACTAGCGTTGCTTGACTGTGGAAAATGTGTTCAATAATCCTTCGAAAACTAGAGCCCTTAGAGTATTGATCTCAGTGGCTGGGCACAGTGTGGAAAATAGATCGATTTTGTCCTAGCAGATGTACCTACGCTTTGATAGAAAAAGACGTATTTTAGAGTTCTACGATTTAGTTAGTTTATACTATTTTTTTCCAGAAATAGAAACCATTACAGTGATGGCTCCAGACGAATCCTCTCTTTTCAATAGTTCCTCTCTAATAATAGGAGGCGGACTGCTTCGACTTTGCCCGTCAGGGCCAGCCACAGTTGTTTTTGAATGCTGTAATACCACGGAAAGAAGGAGATTCTCTTTTCAATAAAGTCTCGAATTCTTTTTATGTCCGACAGACCAAAGCTGTTACAATACGACAATCTTGGGCTTACTTGGGCTACATCCATAATTTTTTAATTGACCGTTACATTTCTCTTATAACAAAGAAGAAGAAGAAGAAGAAGAAGAAGAAGAAGAAGAAGAAGAAGAAGAAGAAAAAGAAGAAGAAGAGAAAGAAGAGAAGGAGAAGGAGGAGGAGAAAAAGAAACGCCAGCTAAAAAACACTCTTCAACAGCAACAGCTGCAGCAGAAACAGCAACAACAAAACAACAACAATAACAACAACTATTGAAAGATCAACAGGAAGAAATGTGTCCAGTAAAGCATAGAACTGCCTCGTAGCCTTAAATAAAAATGACCTATGGCTACTGTGACTGTGAGAGGCAATTCAGGAGGTAGCAGCAAAACTTAAGTGAACACAAAAAACAGTAGAGAAGAATGTATTGATATTTGTGAAATCGCGTGCAGATCTCAAAAGAAACAGACGCAAGTGGCATGGAATGTAGGCCTATCTGGACTACAGAAGTGATGAATCAATAGACAGCTGTTACATTCACAGTTACCAAGTTTCAAATATTATCCTCCAGTCTGCTTCGTCGCTGTTATTCAATGCGCGAGAGATGCTCAAGACCTAGAATCTAGAAGATCGAATCTAAGCCCTATGCAAACTTTATTAGCATCGATCAAAAAGCGTTGAACAAAGACCTTGGGTATACCTTTCTTTCCGGGAGACGGGAGTAATCATTGTTCTGTCATCCTCTCTTTGGCCTTGTTTGTCCAAAAATAACAATGATGCCGTGCCTATTTTCTGAAGCTTGAAAGAATGGCTATTCTTAGTGAAAAGTGAATGGTGCAAAAGCATTAGCCAGCCTATTAAGTGTGGATTAAGTTTGATCTATAAATCTAAGTTTAGAAAATAAAGAAGTAGATTTAGTCTAAAATCTATTTCAACACAGTTGGGTTTTAAGAGGGGAGAGAGGAATGCAACCCGTGTCTGTTGTGTAGCGGTTAAGTGCTTCGCCGTCATGCACAGAAGACCGGAGATCGATTCCCGAGTACGGAGAATTTTAAACAAATGTTTCTGAGGGACTTTGTGTCCATCTTAACACGGGTTAGCCCTGATACGCAGGGCTGAAGCAAGCCTCCTGAATTCTGTTTAATTATGTTGAAGGGCGCACAAAAAACACTACAAAAACAAGCTTCATTTTTTTCGTTTTCTTAACTGCAAATAAAAACTGCTAATAGGTCTGTTTGTCATTATGTAGAGACTCTGCTAGTTATTTGAAAATAAGAGACAGTTTTAGAGAGGTATACATAATTTTTTTAGAAATGTACATGATGTTGAAATTGTGAGTCAGGGTGGAGGGCATCTGTGGTGTGGTGTAAGACGGCTAGCCGTCGCGTGCAGCAGACCCGAGTTTGATGATTACCGTGTGGGGATAATTTTCATAGAGCATCTCTGTCTTTCTGCTGGGACGCTGTGCCCATCCCGGCCCAGGATAGCCCTAACAGGCCGGATCGAACCCCGTCCACTGATTTTCTAAATTGTGCCTACGGGGGCGTAAAAAAAACCCACCATGAGCATTAAAACGGCTGCTGTCAAGGGATTTTAAAAAATGCAATGTAATTGGAGTTGTGTCAGTCAAAAGGGAGAAAAACTTGGCAGGCTGACAGGTTCCCGGGTTCATATTAAGCTTAAGATTATCGCATACGTTTGTTTTAGATATGGATACAGTTGAGGGAAGTTTGCTGTCGGGTAAATATCTCGTTGATATTATTATCTACTCAGAGTGTTGATGTAAAAGTTTATGACAAGTTGTTTGTTGTTTTCATTATATCTTGAGAGCTGAACTAAAACCTCAATATTACAAATCTATTAAGGGGCGACGTGGTTTAGACAGTGACATTGTGGAGAGAAGGAGATCGTGTTGGTGTGTGTGTGTGTGAGTGTGTGTGTGTGTGTGTGTGTGTGTGTGTGTGTGTGTGTGTGTGTGTGTGTTTGTGTCAAGCCACCCTGTTGACGACATATCAGACCATTTAGATCCTAGATCTATCTTCCTCTTTCTACAGAGCATAAAAACATGTTAATTTCCCCGCTTTGGGAATGGCCTTAAGACACTTCAGTCAGTAGCACCGCCCCGTAGGGTTATCAGAGTTTGTTCTTGCCACTACATCTTCAGGGCTAAACATAACACCAAACATTAAAAAGCCATAAAGGCGACGAGGTTTAGACTGCAACTTTGTTGAGAGAAAGAGATCGTGTTAGTGTGTGTGTGTGTGTGTGTGTGTGTGTGTG